CCCCCTTGGGGACTTTGCTAAATGCACAGGGGTTCCATCTCGGGTTCATTCAGATATGGCTGATAGTTGTGTCATCAGTTTGAGCTATATAACATTGATACTTTCTACCGAGAGCCATGCATGCCAATCCTACTAGAATGGCTGAAACCGTGATGCTTCCATGACCACTATGGAAGACCATACAAAAAAGAAAACCGAAGACCATCTGGAGACATGCCTAACCTCACTCTTACAATATGAATCCTGCTGCAATATTGTGGTGTAAAGACATATGGTGGCAAGATCCCACACAAGCACAGTAATGAATTGTTAAGTAAACTAAACGCATGCCACAGATCTCACAACCATATTGTTGACAGGTGCAAAGCAAAATGACACCAGAACAGGCCACACATGCAAGAGGAGCATTAAGTAGCCAGCGACCAAGTAAAGCCATACAAAAGCAGTAGCTATCAAGCCAGCAAAAAGAGTCTTGGAAGATTTGAAAATCTACATGAGAGGCAGAGCTCATAGGCACATGATATTAAAGAAGACATGTGGCTGTTTTCTTTCCAACGACCATGTCAAGACAGCACCTCTTTCTCTTAAGCACTGTGTCAGCATCCTCTTCCATTCAGTAACAGTCTAGAAGACCCTATTTCGCCCAGTAATCTGCCAGCCATCCCCTCACTCTCAGCAACCTGCCACAGCTCCTTTAACCTTCTTTACCACCTTGCCTGCATCATACCGCTTTCTGCTCTTAACCTTGCACCACAGCACCTGCAGCCATGCAGTGCATGCCACCCCTTCGCTTTCAACGATTGTGCCTGAGTTACCTGCATTGCTCTCATTATTTACTGCTTCTGTACACTTTCCATCTCACCGCATAATCTGCACCCTCATCCCCCCCACCCCTTTGGACATGCCTTTACACTTCCTTGTGTCACCTGACCTCATCATCTCTCACTCCCACCACTGTACCTGCTACCACTCTAACCCTCTTGCTCTAACCACCTCCCCCTGCCAACCATTTCTGGCCCTCTACCCCTGTTTCTGGAACTGGCACACTATTGCTGGCCATAATTAAATTATTGTCAGCCAACAGACATGTTTCAGTCTAATACCAGTGATATCTTACTGTTACATTTTAGGGAAGTCACTGTGGGTAGCAATATTTTTGTTAGCAGGTACAAACACATTTGTAATGGCTGTATATCGATGGTATTCCCCATTTCTTAAAATGCATATAACTAGAAAGTTATTTCTACCTTGTTATATCCTGCACTATTTTCTTTTTTCTCTCTATTTTTTCTACCAACAGACTCCTCTGAGGTAGAAGTCTTTCTTTGTTCTAAAGCCTTAATACTGAGGCTGCCTTACATATTCTCTCATTATACAGTATTTTGTTTTTATTTCTGTGCTGGTGGGCATCCTACAATATTCACTTAAAATTTTAATAAATACTGTAGATTGAACCCTATGACTGACAATCATTTTTCATTTATATGAAGTACCTGATAACTACCAAAGTAACAAATGTTATTTTATCATAGTACCAAACATTGTAATCACTTTATGCACATTATCTGCAGATGCTGAAAATGAGCTAGCTAGCAATTTATTTTAAAAACACCGTTTTATGTGTCAGTGGATACTTGCACTCTATTTATCCTCTATCAGCTAGGTGGTGAACGCTTCTGCTAGTTTCCATAATGAAACAAGAAAAAGATGCCCCTTATACCCTCTAGTTTAACACTAATTCATTTTAACTGGAGGAGTGTTCTAGATAAATTGGAAAAAATAACCTAGATGTATAGGGTAGATTTACTAAAACTGGTGCACTCGGAATCTGGTGCAGCTGTGCATGGTAGCCCAATCAGCTTTAACTTCAGCTTGTTCAATTTAAGCTTTGACAATAAAAACCTGGATGGAGCTAGCTGATGGGTTTTGATGCAGAGTTTGCACCAGATTCTGCACTCGCCAGTTTTAGTAAATAACCCCCATAGCGTATAAATAGGGTGACTTTCACAAGCCATTGATCATGTGACAAGACTTTCAGGGGCAGGGGCCACTTCATTATGCCCTGAACAGGAAGTAAGTTATCTTTATGCAGTTGGAAGAGCTGATGCTGATCCTTAACCTCTCTAGCGTATTCCCGAGTGTAGCTCGGGGTAAAATGTCAGTGCCAAAAGCGGTAACCCTGAGCTACACTCGGGCTTACCATGCGGTGCTGCCATAGGGAGTCTCCTGCAGAGCTTACCTTGTCCTTCGCTACCCGCGATGTGTCCCCATGCAGCGTCCCCGGACCATCACCTCTGGCCGATGCCGGCATCTGGCTTCTGTGTTCCGGTCCCTGTGACGTCGGGACGTACGGGGCGGCGGTGTCAGGGCTCCCAGGTATGACCAGAGGTGTGTGACTGATGCAGGGAAACGCAGACTTCAGATATGTGATAAACAATACAATTTTTATTAACACTAACCATACAAAACATAAACGCAGTGCAATACTAAACATAATACAGTGCAAAACAAACCAAACCAAACCACCCACAGATAACAGTACATACAAGCAAGCGTCGTCAGGCAGGCGGGTCAATATCAATTGGGCCAGGTAGGTACAGGGGGGGGAGCAAGCAGAGAATGGTCGGGGTCACAGGCCAGGTTCAGCATGGTAGCAAGCAGCGTAGTACAGAGGGTCAGGCAGAGGGATGGTCAGGGTCACAAGCAGAGATCAAAACAGGTAACAAGCAGCGTTAGTACAGAGGGTCAGGCAGAGGGACAGAAACAGGATGCAGGACAGATACAGGGCCCAGGACAAACACAACACCAAGGCAGAGTCTGTGGGTCTGGCCATCCCTTAAATACCCCAGCATCATCAGTTCCAGGTGTTAGCTGGCTGAAAGGTTGAGTCTCTGATTGCTGGAGCACCCGCTGGCCAGCCCTGGTACTTTGCAGATCAAAAGGCAGGTGTGAGTCCCCACCATTGCTGGCCAGTCCATTCCTCACAGTACCCCCCCCCCCAAGGAGCGGCCTCCAGGACGCTCCAAACAGTCCTAGCTGGGCAAAATGTTCCACCGCCCGGGTTCTGGTAACTGGGCGGGATATCAAAGACTGGCACACCGGGCAGGACTCCGGGCAGCGGCACACCGGGCTGGACTCCGGGGCAGAGGCACACCGGGCTGGACTCCGGGCAGAGGCACACCGGGGCTGGACTCCCGGGCAGAGGCACACGGGCTGGACTCCGGGCAGAGGCACACCGGGCAGAGGCACACCGGGCAGAGGCACACCGGGCAGAGGCACATCGGGCAGGGACTCCGGGCAGAGGCACATCGGGCAGGAAGGCACATCGGGCAGGACTCCGAGCAGAGGCACACCGGGCAGAGGCCACCGGGCAGAGGCACATCGGGCAGGACTCCGGGCAGAGGCACATCGGGCAGGACTCCGGGCAGAGGCACAATCGGGCAGGACTCCGGGCAGAGGCACATCGGTTGTTTACCAGGCGAAGCAGCAGGCAGCGGGCCACCAGGCGGAGCAGCAGGCACCGGGCCCCCGGGCGGGAGCAGCAGGCACCGGGCCCCCGGGCGGGGCGACATGCATCGGGCCCCCGGCGGAGCAGCAGGCACCGGGCCCCCGGGCGGAGCAGCAGGCACCGGGCCCCAAGCGGGCGGGGCGACGGGCCCCCAGGCGGGGCAAGCAGCAGGCACCGGGCCCCCGGGCGGGGCAGCAGGCACCGGGCCCCCGGGCAGAGGACACCCTGGGCAGGGGCAGCAGGCACCGGGCCCCCGGGCGGAGCAGCAGGCACCGGGCCCCCGGGCGGAGCAGCAGGCACCGGGCCCCCGGGCGGAGCAGCAGGCACCGGGCCCCCGGGCGGAGCAGCAGGTCTCGGGCCCTCGGGCGGAGCGGCGGGCGCCGGACCCCCAGGAGGAGCGACAGGTCTCGGGCCCTCAGGCGGAGCGGCGGGCGCCGGACCCCCAGGCGGAGCGACAGGTCTCGGGCCCTCAGGCGGAGCGGCGGGCGCCGGACCCCCAGGCGGAGCGACAGTCTCGGGCCCTCAGGCGGAGCGGCGGGCGCCGGACCCCCAGGAGGAGCGACAGGTCTCGGGCCCTCAAGCGGAGCGGCGGGCGCCGGACCCCCAGGCGGAGCGACAGGTCTCGGACCCTCAGGCGGAGTGGCGGGCGCCGGACCCCCAGGCGGAATGACAGGTCTCAGGCCCCCAGGCGGGGCGGCGGGGCACCGAGTCACCAGGCACAACCGTGGGCTCCGAGTCAACTGGGATGACCGCTGGCACTGGGTCAGACATTGGATCGTCTGGCTGGACAGCGGGCATCGGGTCACCAGGCATCAGGTCATTTGGCTCGACAGCGGGCATCGCGTCATCTGGCAATGCAGTGGGCTCCGAGTCAACTGGTATGACCGCGGGCACTGGGTCAGACATTGGATCGTCTGGCTGGACAGCGGGCACTGGGTCACCAGGCATCAGGTCATTTGGCTTGACAGCGGGCACCGCGTCATCTGGCAAGGGCAGTGGGCTCCGAGTCAACAGGCACGACAGTGAGCACCGGGTCATCAGGTACCGGATTGTCTGGCTCGACAGCGGGCATCGGGTCACCAGGTATGACAGCGGGCACTGGGTCCACCAGGCATCAGGTCATTTGGCTCGACAGCGGGCACCGGATCAGGTACCGGATCATCTGGATCAACAGCGGGCATCGAGTCAACTGGCCTAATAGGATCGTCAGGCTGGATCAGTTCATCATGCTGGGTAGAGGCTTCAGGCCGAGTAGAGGCTTCAGGCCGAGTAGAGGCATCAGGCTGAAGAGAGGCATCAGGCTGCATACAGGCATCAGGCTGCGTACCGGCATCAGGCTGAAGAGAGGCATCAGGCTGAGTAGAGGCATCAGGCCGAGTAGAGGCATCAGGCCGAGTAGAGGCATCAGCCGAGTAGAGGCATCAGGCCGAGTAGAGGCTTCAGGCCGAGTAGAGGCATCAGGCCGAGTAGAGGCATCAGGCCGAGTAGAGGCTTCAGGCCGAGTAGAGGCATCAGGCCGAGTAGAGGCTTCAGGCCGAGTAGAGGCTTCAGGCCGAGTAGAGGCTTCAGGCCGAGTAGAGGCATCAGGCCGAGTAGAGGCTTCAGGCCGAGTAGAGGCTTCAGGCCGAGTAGAGGCATCAGGCCGAGTAGAGGCTTCAGGCCGAGTAGAGGCATCAGGCTGAAGAGAGGCATCAGGCTGCATACAGGCATCAGGCTGCGTACCGGCATCAGGCTGAAGAGAGGCATCAGGCTGAGTAGAGGCTTCAGGCTGAGTAGAGGCTTCAGGCTGAGTAGAGGCTTCAGGCTGAGTAGAGGCTTCAGGCTGAGTAGAGGCTTTAGGCTGAGTAGAGGCTTCAGGCTGAGTAGAGGCTTCAGGCTGAGTAGAGGCATCAGGCTGAGTAGAGGCTTCAGGCTGAGTAGAGGCTTCAGGCTGAGTAGAGGCTTCAGGCTGAGTAGAGGCTTCAGGCTGAACCACGGAAGGCAGGCTCACCGGTTTGGATACTGGCAGGATGGTATTGGTTGGAAAGAATTTTCGCTTTTTTCTGGTTTTAACTACTGGAGCACTGCAAGTAAACGCAGGTCTGCAAACGAATGGAGCAGCTGGAGACAGAGAAGAACTGGAGGATGGAACAGGAGAGGGAGCGGTTGCTACAGAGGGCTCTTTTCTTTTACAGGGTTAAAGGCAGGATAGGTGCAGCGAGTGGGAACAGGGTACTGACATGCGGTAGATAGCAGGGCAGGAGGAGCTGTTGGGAATGCAGGAATAGAGTTTTGAGGAAATAGATTAGAAGCAGGACTGGGTCTTTGTAAGCTGACTGAGGCTGGGTGCAACAAAACTGTCCATGTCTGCAGTATGGGTTGAACAAAGCTGAGCTTACACAAAGCCTGTCTGGTCAATGACTGGTACTGTACTGCGTTTATACAATCTCTTAGTGTCTGTGGTGAACATGTGGAATAACGCTCCAGAAAGTAACCCACATCATCCTCTAATAACCACACCAGGGACTCTACCTGGTCTGCACTAAATGGTGGCAAAAATTCATCCCTGCATTCGGGGGAACCAGATGAAACCAACTCAGCACAAACCTCAATCAATGGCTGCACCTCAGAGAAACTCTGTGCCCTGATCTACTAGAACATGAGCGAGCCGTATACATTCTAGCAGTTCATCCCGGGGATACTCCTTCAGAGTCTGATAAGCATACTCCCTGTCATCAAACACTAGCAGATATAAATATTCAACCTCATCAAGATCCATCCTTCCATCAACAAGCCAAGATGGCTTCCCTGTGCAGCCACTTCTGGTCAGGATTGGCCTTGGTGTAATGTCAGGGCTCCCAGGTATGACCAGAGGTGTGTGACTGATGCAGGGAAACGCAGACTTCAGATATGTGATAAACAATACAATTTATTAACACTAACCATACAAACATAAACGCAGTGCAATACTAAACATAAAAAATACAGTGCAAACAAACCAAACCAAACCACCCACAGATAACAGTACATACAAGCAAGCGTCGTCAGGCAGGCCGGGTCAATAATCAATTGGGGACAAGGTAGGTACAGGGGGAGCAAGCAGAGAATGGTCGGGGTCACAGGCCAGGTTCAGCAGGTAGCAAGCAGCGTAGTACAGAGGGTCAGGCAGAGGGATGGTCAGGGTCACAAGCCAGAGATCAAAACAGGTAACAAGCAGCGTAGTACAGAGGGTCAGGCAGAGGGCCAGAAACAGGATGCAGGACAGATACAGGGCCAGGACAAACACAACACCAAGGCAGAGTCTGTGGGTCTGGCCATCCCTTAAATACCCCAGCATCATCAGTTCCAGGTGTTAGCTGGCTGAAAGGTTGAGTCTCTGATTGCTGGGAGCACCCGCTGGCCAGCCCTGGTACTGCAGATCAAAAGGCAGGTGAGGTCCCACCATTGCTGGCCAGTCCATTCCTAACAGGCGGCGGGAAATTTGAAAATTTTAAATTTCATTTTTTTCAAACAAATTTTACATAGCGAAAACATTGCTGTTTCAACCCATTTCACATACATTTTGTCCCTAGTGCTTTGTCCTGTGCCCTGCCTGCATTTTGTCTGTTCTTTCTGCCTGGAAACTGAGAAAGGTCCATGGCGTCCAAAAAGCGTCCCTTTAGGTCAAAAGCGGTTTTTTAGACCAGCTAGAGAACAGCGATAGTAAATCAGAACCACTTGCAGAATTGAGTGATAATGATTCGTGGGGAAATTCGTCATCAGACACTGAAAACGATTTTGCGACTTTGCTCAGCAATGTGCGAACTTGGCGCTCTATTTCAAATTTCAGTGTTTTTGGTTTGATTATATTATTGAATTGTATTATTATTATTATTTTTTATGATTATTTTTTAAATTATAATTTATGATTTTGTGTTTCAAATTTTATCATAACCCGGGATGTTTACTAGACTCTTAATCGGACAGATTTCAGTGAGTTATTCCTAAAAATTACAGCCTACAATAAAAAAAAACTACATATTTCCATGCAAAATAATGGTACCGCTTTCAGCACCAAAAATCTGAAATAATCATACCGCCAGGGAGGTTAAGGGGGCAATGGTTTTTTACATTAAAAATGCAATGTATCTGTGTGCCCTGAATTTGACTGCACTTTTCTTGGGAGTTCTCCATTTTTGTTTAATAAAAAGGTTGGTGTTTTTGGAAGTATTACACTATGAGAGGCATATTTTATTCTTAATAAATAAAAATAGGTGCAACGCTATAGTATTAATCAGAATCACAAATCATATGCATATGGTGCCTAAAATTGCACCTAAAAAAATGAACAGTCTATTAAGTGCATATATGTGAAAGCTTGACTTGCAATGGTCAGCAGGAAGAGAATCCTCCTCAGTAATTCTTAAAAGTTACTCCCATTGCTCCAATTGTATAAATTGCGCACCGTCACCAGATGCACAAGGAAATTGTGCATTGAATATAAGCTTCTCTGCGGGGTCCTGGATATCCTTGGTTGGTGCAATTGCAGCTTAACATTTTATGCTTTTATTGAATTTTTAATTTTAACTTTATAGTTTAATTTCCTATATTTTATGATTCTGAGCGCTCGCTATTAACATATCATATTTTATTTCTTGTTTGGTGAGCTTTTCCTAAGCTGGAGTGGAGGTGGAAGGATGATCTCTGACCAGTTGTAAATATATGGTGGATTCCTGTATTTCATATAAATTAAAGTATAAAAACAACAAGTACCACTGCAGGGTGAATATAAAGATTTAACTGCCAACTCCTATGGGTCCTAGCGTACCATTAAGTAAGCTGGAATGGTGCAAGCAAGCTCGCTTCCATTACAAAGTGGTCCCAAATAAGGACGAGGTGCGACATAATGTAAAGGTATCAAATGTTATTGATTAACAAAAATTTAAAAAACTAAATTGGAATCAAGACCTTAACCATGCACAAATAAAAAGCAAGTGACAATGTTGTCAGGTGTTTAAAATGACACAGCCCTGGCTCACAGACACACTAACTTTCACACAGTTGCTAGCAGTAATATAGAGCAAATGGAAACCAGCAATAGATAATCTAGTGAAGCACAAGGAGTCATCCTCTGCAGGTAATCTATGGCCATATACACGACATTGAGGCAGTATCTATTCAAGAAATCTTCAGCTGAGCAGTATTATATGTAGATGCATGTACACATACATGTACATAGACGCAGACACATGTACAGATACACACATGTACATACACACAGACACATGTACATGCAGACACAGACACACACAAACACACACACAGATACATGTACATACACACATACAAATACACACACACATAAAAATACGCACACACATGTACAAAAACACAACACATACAAATACACACACACAAATGTACACACACATACAAATACACACACACACACACCCCTATAAAAAGTTGCAGTACTTCTTACCTTCACTCACAGAGCCGGGTACTGCACTCTAGGGGGAGGCTGAGAGCACAGCACACACTCCTTCCTTTGCTTTCACTTTGCTCAACTATTGAGCAGTCTGATGGCTCCCAGTGCGAGTGACAGATCTGGCCCTGAGTTCCGAGCCAGACGGCCCTGGGGACACACTTGCCTCCCCCATAATTTCCACTCACACAATGCGAGCTGGCGAGTGGAAATTTCAAGGCTGGTCTACATTCAAATAATAAACCTTTTGGTTCATTATACCACTCAAGGATACAGAGAACCTGTGAAGTACCGCAGTTGACAAATTGTTTTATATAATATACATTCTGCTGATCTGCATCTATTGGACCTATAGATCTATCTATTGAACCTTTTGGTCCGATCCACATAATTACAAATTGGCATCGACCCCATGGAAACATGTCTTTCAATCGGGGTAGGTCAGTCAACCAGTTCCTGGAGGGTGTCCCGTATGAATTCCGATTGTACCAAGTTGTATCTCTAAGATTCATAACTCTTCTGACTACCAATGCAGGCCTTGGACCTACGATCTTAGGCAGTTCAGGTGACTGAGTTAGGATATTGCAATGTATGGTTAGCACAGACTGTACATCTGTATTACATATCTACCTGGGCTTGAAGGGCAAAATAAATGTTGACCTTACCTAAGTGTGGGTCAAACTTGGAGGTAAGCAGTTTGTATCAAAGGAGGTGGTGCAGTTTGGTGGAATACTCATGAAAGTGCCTGTCAAGCTTGCACAGCAAGAGTGCACTTTATATTGGGAAGGCAATTTCGGTTTCTGAAGGATGTAAGGACTCATAGGGGTTGCGTTACTGAAACTGCAGAGTGCCAAATTGGCCACCATTCACAGCTGCTCTAGATTGTGCAC